CCTCCTTCTGCCCTTGCACTCATTGCTGGTTGTTTTTACAACAATTTCTGATGGATTTTTCCTGAAATCACACCTAATCAGTGTCTCAGACATGGTTACACTTGTAGGAGAAGCAAATGAATCCTGCTAAAAGAAGAGTGTTTCTGGAGGTGTCACTGAAAATGTTGAAGCTTTAATGAAGTTGTTTAATCCAACAATGGATTGTTGCAGAGTGTTTTATATGGATTTGGGAAGTCTCCCTATTACGGGCACTGAGTTTTATTAAGTGCTCTGAACGGAGGAGCGAGATAAGGGGGGATGGATCAAGTCCTCAAGGCTGAAAGAAGAATAACACAGATGGGGACCACACATTGGTTTGTAACCTGAGAAACAACTGGTTTGTGTCCAGGCTGCCCAGGTACCTGTGCTTCCTGGGGCCGCGAGTGGCAAGTAAGGAATAAGCGCGGGTTTACTAAAAGGCCAGTCTGTGAAAACCAGACTTTGCTGGGCAAACCCAGCAGCTGAAATGCTGCTACAACCATCTGAGCGTCCCACGCATCCCCCCCTCACCTGGGTCTGGGGGCAGCTTTGTAACACACACGTGCACCTGGAGCTCATACGAGCGGGATGGCAGGGGTGGGAAAAAGCTAACATGAATGAGGACAAAGCCACTGGTCTTGTAGAAACGAGGAGCATAGCAGGCTCCTCCGGGCATTGCGAACCCCTCTGAGCAGCTCTGGCTCTGCCTCACTGTGGGGCAGCAGTGGTGAACTAGTTTTCATTAAACTAATGCAGGAAACGTCAGTATGTGTACACAGCCTTCCAAAACCCAGCTCCTTTCAAAAATAGTTTTAACGGGAAATTTGCAGTAACCCAAATACTCACCAGGAATTACAGCGCGGGCATCCCGTGCTCCTGAGAGGCAGAGTCAGGCCCCCCATCGCATCTACCGCAACATCCAGCCACACGGGTCAAATACTTGACATGACATTAAAACCCCCTCCGCCAGCCCAGCAAATGGCCACGCTGCCATTGCCTTTGTGGGGCAGCTGAATTTCTTTTGCTCCCAGCTGATGGCGAGGGGTCTGAGCCCTCTGAGGAAAGGGAAATTCATTCCCAGCATGTGAATCACAGGCTCTGCTGTGGCAGAGAAAGAGATGAGTGATTTTGCCAGCCTTGTTGGGTGAGAATAAGATTTAAAACACTTCTAAGCAAACTTCCATTGCGGGGTTGGGTTTTTTTCTCACTCAGGTATTGCGCTTTAAATTGGTTTTGGAATTTCCCCCCCCTCATCAGATTGTGCAACAACATCTCCTGAGGTGGGATGTCGGGCGCTGACTCAGGGACCAGTAATGAACACTGGAAGTGGCAGCTGGTGTCTGACACTGTCACCCTGGCAGCAAATGCAGCAAGTCCCTTGAGAAGGAGACAGCATTGACTCATTTCCCATGAGATCTCCCTTATTTCACGCTTCTCCTTTGGGAAAAGCAGGAAAAATAGCAAAAAAGAAACCCCTGCAGGTAACTTGGCAGGTCCAGGCTTGCCACCGACTGTTCCCCCAGTCAGATCCCCCTTTCTTTGGGTTTAGCAGCTCTTTAGGAAGGTAACAAGTGACTGATGCCGTTGGGGAAAACATCCCTTTGAGGACAGCCCATCCACATGTGGCACGAGCTTTCCTGATCTGGGCCCCTCATTGATTTGTCTTTGCTTTACCATGGCTCCCCAGGGCTTACTTGGGGTTTTTTTCAGCCAGGCACTGAGGGTTGCCTTTGCCAAAGCAGGTGGGATTATAATTACCTTGTGGTAATTAATGCAGTCACCATTTTAGCTACCCTAGCAGCTCTCAGAGGAGATGGTTATATTTGCGACTCACGTACCAGGTCTGTAAAACTATCCTGAGATTTCTAAGTCAAATACCCAAATCTCTAAAGAGAAGTTGGGGCTGGGGGAGGGAAGACATGCCTTCAGCTGCGAGTGGCGGCCACGGGTAATTGCTGTGATTTATTAAGCGCTGGGTGCTGGAAGCATTCCCGACGGAGTTGCTCTTGTGTACAGGACGCCGCCGGCACTGAGAGATTCAGCCTCTCCTGCAGAAACCTTTAACTCTTAATTTTCCCAGTGACCACCAGCCTAATCTTGCCTGCTTAGCAAAAGTCAAACAAAAATGCATAGGTTGTACAAACTTCCCTCCCTTCCACCCAGGAGCCCATCTCCACCCCCGGCCAGGGCAGCGAAGGAGCAGGACCACCTGCAGCCAGTTTGCTCCGAAAGCATCAGCTCAGATGCCTGCTACCGATACTCGTGTCAGGCTGGAGTAATTTTCCACCGACGCATGCCTCCGCCAGACTTGCCTTTCCCCAGGGACAAGTCTGGAGGGTGTTTAGAGACTCTTGTCTAAAGAGCTCTGTCTCACCCGAAAAGCCAGCGACCGCGTGAGTGGCTGCCGTACCGCCGGTGGCTTGGTTAAGCCACAGCTGGAGAGGGCAACGCGTGTGCGCCCGCTTCGCTGGCAAGGGGAGCAGAGATGAGCTACACAGGGGTTTGGTTTTTTCCTCAATAGCCTGGTATTGAGACTGCAAACAGCTTGTTTACATTTGGGACTATATTTCTGAGAGGTTTAAATGCCGTGTTGTGCATAGTGGTCAATAATGGTCATTGGGAGCATTAGGAGCCTTGACAGGTCCAAACATCCCAATGTTGCATTTCTGGGGAGCCGAGTGCTCCCCTCGCAGCAGGGCCGACTCCGGAGTCCACCCTGAAGGCCACTGCTGGGAATGAAATCCCACCCAGCCCCTGTCTAAAGAGCCAAGGTGGTGGGAGATGCAGGTCTGGCAGTACTGAGCTCCGAGGACCCCTTTCCTCTTGCCCTGCACGTGCACCAGCTCAGGGCAATGACACCTCTACTAACTCCCTCTTCACCTCTGCAGAAAGCTCTCAAGGCCTGAGAAGAGACGAGTCCATGGGCTTCAGGAGAAGCTGTGCACATTAAATGCAGGCTGAGCAGCATGTAGCAGCCTGGAAATGCTGTCGCTGTGAAAAAAAAAAGAATTTCAACCATTCCTTTGGGCAAGCTCAGCCAAACTTTTCTGCAAATTAAACTAACCCAATTATTGAATTAGCATGAGATTCAATACATTTGAGGGCAGGCAGAAAAAGAAGTTGTCTGTCAAGTTGTCACAATATTTGTACATTGCTTTCAAATTTTGAAAATAAAACATCAGCCTAAATGAGGCAAGTGCCTGGACTCGGGGTGAGTACGGCTGGTGGGACTGCGAGGTCGTGTCCTCTCCTCCAGGAGTGCTAAAATGAGTTTTTCACAGCAAAGGTGGGCCCCTGATTGTCACTAATCACCACGAAACAAACCCTCTTCCCAGGAAGAAGCGGCAGAGAGTGGAATGAACCGCCTGGGGCCCACGCACACACGGACGTGAGAAAATGAAGTTTGAGTTTTCTTGGGGTCTAACTGCTAAGGAGGGCACATCCCTCCGCCAGCAAGTCGCACATCAAGCTTTGAATTAGACCCTCCGACCTGAGACCTCGCTTCACTCCCGAGGCCGTTTTTCCCTGCGGCATCCACACCTGAAGCGGCTCAGAGATGCTCAGCCCAGCGAGCAGGTTAGCCAGGGACCTGCTGGCGCAAAGAGCCGCCCGCTTACCTCTCAGCATGCTGAAATCCTCTTACAGACATATCTTTTCCCCACTTAATCCTCTTTTTCTCTTGATTTATTAACAGGAATTAAAAAAGGACCCAGGTTAAAATTCTGCGTGTGAATCAAGGTCTGGATCTGGGCGAACTCTGCGGCTGATCACGCCGTAATCCCTGCAGCCACCGGGCTTCGCTGAGTCAATTTTGAAATGAAATTTCATGAAGGCGGACCAAACTCTCACAAAAGTAATGATCAGTATTTTTATTCGTACACACTTGCTTTGAAACTACAATTAATATTTAACAAAAGCATTTCATGCAAACAGATTGAAGATACCGAGAATTAAGGAAAAAAAAAGATGCTGCAATTTATACATCAGTCTTGCCCACTGTACTTCCAATGATTTTTTAAATTTTTTTTTAAAAATGAATGGCCTCTCCAAATTTTCTGGTAGCATCTTGCAGATAAATGATAAGAAAATAAATAATGTTCTCCTCTTTATAAATACAAAATTTGGGTCTTAAAATAATATTAAAACCATGAATGAGTTCAAGGTGGGATTACTCCTTGTTTAAAAAAGATAACATTAAAATAACATGCAATCGTTTCAGAAGTTTCAGGTGTGCTCTGTATTGTCGTGCAAAATCATACATGTGTTGGGAAATGCACATTTTTAAAAGGGGCAATAAGCTTCATTTCGTTGAAATTATTTTTCTTACATGCATTTTAATAAACATGAGGGAATAAATGAAAGGCTTTGTGGGGAACAAGCCACAGATTAAATTTGTATTATCACTGCAAGAACATTTTTTTCTGCCCCAAGTCAGCAAGGCATCCGAGTGTGCAAGCTCTACGGACTTCTACGGGACGTGAAGCTGCACTGCTCCAAGGTAAGCCCAAATGCCCACGCTCTGCTGAACAGCAACGGGCGCAAGCACGTACTTAATATTTTTGCAGAATCGGGGCTTATAGGCTTAGTGCTGCCAGACGCTGGATACCGCAGTCTTGGCTCCAATAAAGCACTAAGCACACAGCGAGCTCTGAGCGCGTCGCGGTTCCACTGGATGCCTTGGAAGGCCAGGACAGGAGCACACGAGCCTCTGGAAGGACGGAGCCATCGGCAGTACTGCCTCTCAGGGTTCAAACAGAAGGAAAATAAATACAATTCAAACAGTTCTTCGGAAAAGGTTTATAAAAATCAGAAACATAATTTTCCTTTCTATTAAAATCTTCCTGTCACCAACTTAGGATTATAAAACTAATGTAACATCAGCTATAGACTTTCCAGTGTATCCTGTAGTGAGAAATGAGCTTCAACAGAAGCAGGCCGGGGCCGGTTATCAGTGCTCTTGCTACTCTTCCTGCATGTCACTGTTTAAAATTATTAACAGACTGCTGATTTGCTGATATTTTTTTTTTTTTTTTTTTGGTCAACTGACATCAGTGGAAGAAAAATCATAGCTTCTAGGGCAGTTTTCTTTTAAGTTTGAACTGTGGTGTCACACACAAGGAAAAGCAAAGCATGAAGATATACGACACACGAATACATTAAAATATCAATGGAATAAACCTGTCATGGACGGACCAGCTGCATAAAGAATATCGCTTCTCCTTCAATAGGAGTCAGTATAAACATTACTAGAAAACAGCTGTGCTGACTTTATTTACCCATAGGGAATCCCACCCTACAACACTCAGTTCTGCTAAGACTTCCATCTACATGGAATTTTTAAATTGCACGTAGAAATCTCAGTAACTGGAAAAGAGGTAAGTGCAGCTGACCCACACAATGAGCAAGCACCGCTCCCCACCACACCCTGACTCCAGTTAACAAAAGCTGGACTCCAGATTCTGTAAGAAACATATCAGATCTGATTTTGTTTTTCTTTAAACGGTTTCAGCAGAATTACTAAAATTCTATAAAAAAGTAGAAATAGCATGGTATATCCCGCAATACCATGTGAATCGAATAAGCTGATTTAATATTAAAAATTATAATAATACTTACACAAATCTTTTCAGGTTAAAAGTGTATTAGAAACATTAACTAAGAAGTCCTCACACCTCCCTGTGAGGTAAGTAAGTAGTATTGTCCCCATTTTACAGATGAGGAAACTGAGGCAGAGAGGTTAATAACTTGCCCTCCCTCCCTCTCGGTTTTCCCAGGAACAGGAGGGCTGTAGTGCATGACGGTTATTCATTATAAGGCTATTTAATTCCCAATCGTTACTGGCACAGTTACTGGTTGGTATGAAATCATACATGTTTATGGAGTCAATTCTTACTTAATTCTTCAACTGAACTATGTCAGATCCCATCTAGGAGTGTGGAGCCGAGGAAAAAAATGCTTTAGCTTGTCTACTTTTTTACTACTTCGCAGCTCGGTGCCTACCTACCGAAGAGCACGCAGAGGTAACACATCGCCTAGAGCCGACACTCATGTTTGCAAAGAGACAAAACCTGTGTACAATAACTTATGGTAATGACTGAAAGAACTGAAAATCACATTAAATGTTTCCAGAACTTTCGTGGCAGGTCAGAAAGCCCCCTGTAAACTCAATACTGTAAATATGCTTTCTACTCATATCAAAGCTTTATTATTGGATTATTATTATTTCCAATGATGTGTTTTGCTTAATAAGGAGGATCTTCCCCCTCTGCTAACCGCACGCGTCTCCTACAGCATTTATCTGGGATTGCATCCGGATGCACTGAATGAGAAAAGAGACTTTGCAAGTGGTACCACTCAATCCTGGCCCTTGGACATGCCATCTTTCTGGCTAGAAGACAAGTTCCTCTCTCACTTGACCTTATTAATTTTACAAGATCCCAGCATTATTCAATTGAATTCACCCCAAAAGACAGGATGGATTTCAAAGGCCAACAGCATTTAGATATGATGAGTTTCTTTTAAACTAACAGCTGATTTCCAGAGGAACTTTCTTCAGTTTGTAAAAGGAAATTCAATTGTATTTCTGGAAAAAATGAAGGATCAGAAAGCTAAATTGCATTTCTCCTCTAAATTGGATTAAGGGGGAGTATTTTATTATGGGTATGTGCTCTCTCCTTCTCACGTATGTGCAATCCTTGCTAAGAGGACCGAGACTGGCTGGCGGGCGAAGTGGCTGTCTTGGAAACCCACCACCCTGCTGAGGCGACTCGAAGGTGCATAGAAACACCCAGGTACCCAAATAATGAAGAAGTTTGCCTAGGAGCTAGTTAAGTCCCATTTCATCCCTGAAAACAACTTGGAAGTTTTACATGGCAGACCTGTGCCTCCCCCGGCAGGAACGGGGCTGCTCCGGAGCCCCTCAGGACTCGAGCGCACGTGGGATGGAAACACGGCTCCCAAAACTTCCACCCCAGGTTCAGTGCATTATAATTTTCAGCTGGACTTTTAGAAACCTTTGTGATGGTGTGGGTGTTCAGATTACGGTTGCTATTGAACACAAGTGAAAGAAAAGCAGTTCTAATGCCTCTCCCCCTGTTGATACATGTTCTCTAGAAAACCAAATCTTGTGAAAAATATTATACAACTAACATCTGTATTTAAAACAATATGAAAATGCTTGCTGGATACTTAAGGTTTTACTTGCCATTATAAATTTCGGGATGATAAGCAAGCCACCTGGAGTTCTCATTAAAGGGCTGGTCCAAGCGTGAGCGTTCACGTGCGAGTGCGTTAGGCAGAGCAGCGAGGAGTAACATGAATATTCAGTCCCTGCTTTATACAACCCTGTCTTGTTCCTGCAGGATCCACGAGTTCACAGTACCTTTTCGTAAGCGTTACAGACACCTACAGAAGACGACACGAGATGTCGCGAGCCCAGGGACTTGAGGTAACAACGTTAAAGAGGAATTTCTGCTTCTACATCAGAAAAACGGGGGAGCAATTGCAAGTGCCTAAGAAACTGGTTATGAGAAGTAGCCAGAAAATGAGCAGCTCTGGCCAGATGTTGGACCAGCTCCTTAATTCTGTGTTCTGGTGCGAACAGTACCAACCCTCGCAGCTGTGCCAGCAACAACGGCCTGCAACGAGACCTCCCTGCACAATTCGTATTTCATCAGGAAAACCAGAGCCGTTTGGGAACGTCTACCCGTGGGATCTCCTGCCTCCTTCTGGCTCAGTTTAGTTCTGCCTCTGTGCGCTGGTGTTTCTCCCTGCATTTTCCCTTTTCAAAAGTCTCTTTTTTACTTCACATTCTTAAAACACACGTAATGCTGCCTCTCAGCAGATTTACTTACTTGAAAGCCCCTTATTTATTCAAAATCTGAGCCTCAGTAGTCTGCTGAATCTATTATCTTCTACAGCACGATACCCAGATTTTCCTAAACTATGGCGGGCCAATAATATTCAGAAAAACATAAATAGTCATGAATGCTGCACTAGTCCACATGCTATGGAGAACACCATAATTTTTGAAGTATATAATATAAAAACAAGAAAACGAACTCCCAGACTTGGCTGATAACATATTTGACACAGAACGGTTTAAAATTTTTACTCCTAAAACGTTTTAAAAATTCTGAGTTCTGTTTATTTCGGCAACAACCTAGTTCTCGTTAGTTGGCCAATGCCCCTCGTTAGCGGTGTGCTTTCCCATGCCTCAGAACGGTTCGGTTCGCTCATTAAAGCCTGCTCACTCTCACCCGGGGAGACGCTCCTTGCTGAGAGCCAGGGCTGCAAGAGGACTACGACCGGGCGAAAGTCAAACCTCTGGAGTGTTGCAAATCGCACGTCCCAGGCACCAAAAATACAGCTTCTGAGGGCACCACGGGTGCGGAAGCACGACACAGTTGCCGTTCGCATCCAACCGCGTTTCGCTCAAAAACTGTCCCAACTCCACCACGGGTCACCCCCGTAAGTCAAACCCACCCGCTTGGCTACCAACTTGCAGGACTGGATCTTTCTAACAGAATCTTTGGCACAGGTTCCATGTTTTATTGTCATAAAAGATGATTAGAAAGTAGATTCCCCTCCCCACCCCCCCCACAGTTACATATTCTAGTATAAATTTAAGTCTTTTATGGCAAATATCTTACTTTTTTGAATATGTTTACATGCTGGAAAAACTGTAATCAGTCTGCATGCAGCAACAGAGACATCATGCTTCTGGCATCGTCATGCACATCTGACAGACAAAAAGTGCCTATGGCTGCTAACATTAACAAGGCAGAAGGGAAAAAAAAAAAAGGAAAATGCACTGACTACTATTTTACATGCTGGAACAAAACCAAAGTATGCACAAAAAATATTTACTGGTATTTGAATTAATGTCTTCTGGTAAGTCATAAGAGGAAATATCAAATGTTTTTATCTAAGTGATAGGAGAGGAGACGACTGCATTAATTACAGTGTTCATCATTGCAAATAAAGTCTATTTCCTTCTCTGTAAGTAATAAGCAGACGTGAAATGAAAGCCTAATTGAACCTCGTATAAAACCTGCAGGTAGCAATTACTGTTTAAAAGTAGATCTACTTTTAAAAAAAGAGCTTATACCCTAAGCTATTAACAATATCCAAAACCTAAAGTAAAAACCAAAACAATAGCAATAAAACATTTAGCTAAATCTAAATGATGTCATTCAGAACAAGAACTTTCACAATAAAGCACAATTTGTTTTATAAAATTTTTATAATACTCTTTATGCTTGATACGATTATGTCAATAATATAGATCTGCTTATTATTAACCCTTATTATTAAGAGTTATTACTAAACATGCAAAATTCATTGCATGAAGCGTATGTAAAATGTATTAAATTCCATTCTATCAGTAAAACAAGTTTTAGGTGCTGCTTCTTTCAGGCTTGATTATTCTACAGCCCCAAGTTTTCTGAATTAAACCTGATTATTTTAAGACTAAATCTCACTTGATTTTCATGAGTTATTCTGGAGAAATCAGGAAGTCACTTGGGGCTGCATTTTTTGTTAATTTAGTATACATAATGCTTTCTTCGATGTACTGCCCTATACTGCAGACTATAAACAAACACATGTAAATAAGATTTAAGGGATTACAGTTTTGTTTTACATTCCAGGTTAACAAATTTCATAGTAAAATATTGGTATTAGAGCTGGTTAACAGTAAACTTGAGGAGTGGTGTAAATTAAATTAACTGAACAAACAATGGCACCCTGGATCACAGAATAATCTCATGGAGATTAAAATTCACAAAAATATTATTAAAATTATTACTATTATTATTATTAAAGACAAAATTTCACCCTTGAGTTTATCACATGCTACTTAGCAAAGATCCTAGAGATCTGGCCACCGCCGAAGTGTGTTTAAACTTGGTGTTGCTTACAGGATCGGTTCACGAAGCCTCAGGGTCTAATTCGATTTTATCCCCCCTCCCACCCACTCCCAACTTGTTTCTGTCGTATTTTCGAAACAACTGCTTTCAACATTTTTTTTTTGCAACGCCTCTCCTCCCCGGTGCCGCTGTCGTTTCAGTCTCTTGTGCTGCTGATCCCCCC